CGAAGCTTAAGGAGTATATATATATATATATCAACTGGGTGGTAAAATTACCGTGTTGTCAAAAAATACTTGCAAACTCTCCATAATAATCTAAGAACATAGACTTTCACGGTCGGAGTGACGATTGAAAGCAACAAAATTTAGGCCGGTTGGCCATGGTCGAATGTATTCTGAAATACCAAACGTTTCGTCTGCTACTGCGGCAGACATCTACAGTGGTATATGCGTTGACTGCGAGGGTGAAAATCATATATCAAAGTCCCAGCATCGACTGACTACTATCCATAATACTATCATATTTTTTACCATGAATTTATTGGTAAAGATCCCGCATTTATTACATAACAATCTTCCTTGGTACTTTCAAATAGTCAGTAGAACATAATTCAGCGGAAAAACATGTTACATGAGAAAATTTTCAGTAAACTGATGAAAATATGTAATTTTTCAGTTGAGAGAACGTCCTTTTCATGATATTAAGAGAAATTGAAAATGTGATTGAAAATGAACGTGATCAGTAAAAATTTCACTTACATGGAACACTGTCATCCTCACTGGTAGACATCGGTGTTTCGCCGTAAGACACTCGTCTTAGGGCTCTTCAGTACCAATCTGAGGAACACTATGAGGAAAAACACACAATTCATTCATAAATAACGATTTTTATGTCACGGAATCAGTTTGATCTACTTATGTCATCCATGACATCGTAATTGCATTCATTCACTTATTTAATTGAATCCAAGTCAAAAGGAATCTTGTTTAAATTGAAAGGGTTATATTTTTAGGAGTGACTAATTTTTGGATTTCTACTACCCCATCCTGATACAAAAAAATGTGGGAATCTTCCAAAGAAATTTTAAAAGAAGTAACTATATACAAAGATGTGTGATGTTGACTGACTCTTCCTAAAAAACATCGATTTAATTACTGTAGACATGCGGGTGGTGAATTAGTTATTGTCTGCAAAATAGTTTTTTCTGGAATAACTTGGCAATGCCGCAATGAAAATTCGAAAATAAGAATTCCTTAGAGAGCAAAAAATGTGATATCGAATGACGTATTCATATAATGGGTGTTCTATTAAAAAAATATAACTTTGGTTGGCCACG